GATACTGTTTTATGTTTTCTGTTACGCGTTTTGTAGCGTGTTTTTGTGGACTGTTTGGAGTGATGTATGTTCCCTCGCTGTGTTACGGAGGTGGTATTGTACATTCCGCTTAGTCTTTTGCTGACGTAATTGTTTACATATGCTGTTAGTCTTTTAGTCATTTTTGGTCTTCTCGTGTCTGTATTTGTGAAGACTTGGTGTCTTGTATGTTCCGTTATGTCTTTTGCTGTCTGTATTTGTTGTTTGTATTCTGTTGATGCGTATGCCGTTATTTCATCTCCGCGTTATCTATTCCGTTTCGGTCTGCTCCTGTACGTGCCTGCAGTGCTCCGTTAACTATTGTTATTATCTGCCGGGTGACGTTGTATGTCTTTTGCTGTCTGTTCTGTATCTTTTCCTCTTTTTCCGTTGCGTCTTTTGAATTGAATTATGGTCAGTTGAGTCTATATCTGTATAATAAGCCGTATAGTCTCTGTTTGTATGTTCTATTCGTTCTACGTTGTGGTTTTGTCAGTCTTGTAGTCATTTCATTTTTTCAGTGGAGTAGCGGGGGATCGAACTCACGACCCCTTGATTGGTAAACAGACAGTGTTACCACTGCACCATAGCGCCCGCTCTGAATAATAACTGTTTTTGAAAGTCCTATATACATTATTACTTAAATGGCTAACAAAAATGTATTGTAATTAAATTTTAACACCTCTATTTAGCTCGCTAACCCACGCGAGTTTTTATATATAGTCAAATAGAATATTGCTCGATTTAAATAATATATAGATAGTTTAAGATAAATTTGCTGTTACTTTAAGATATCCTGGAATTTAGTGAATGGTACCCGGAATTCTTAGATATACCAGAAGGTGCGATTATCTTCTTGTAGAATTTTCCTAAAGACCTGCTATGGTATCGCAAGCACACCATTCTCCCGATTTCAGACATTTAAAGTAAATAAACGGCCTATTTCCTTCATGAAACGTTCTAAGTTCCATGAGAAACTTGTCATTGAATTCGATTTGATGATAAAAGAAAATAATATGAAATATAGATCAAAGCGCTGAAAGCACTGCTAAACTTAGAGGCTGTCAAAACACAAATTAAAAGTAAAAGAAAGCGACATGCCATTATATTTAATTAGTGTCTTGTACATCTGTGCAATAATGTAATATATAGAGAATAACATGCTACTGTCTTTTGATATCAATTTTATCAGGCGAGGCTGATATGGGCTAGAAAGGGCGAGGCTTGCCGAGCCCTTTCTGCCCATATCAGCCGAGCCTGATAAAATTGATATCAAAAGACAGTAGCATGTTTTTCTATTTATCATGTAACACATAATAACTGTCAAAATAACAAAATAGTCTACTTTTAAATAGCGAATTTCGTTAAAAAAGGGGAATTTTTGTTCAAAGAAATAATTCTTGAAAACAAATTCCTCCGCCCCTGACACTTAGAATTTGTAATTGGCGGCCATTTTTTCTTTCGACTCGGATAAAAGATACAACAGAATGTAGGCCTAATACGATAACATTCTTACCTTTAATTTAAACATCGATCCAAAAATCCGCTTAGAATCACATAAACTAAACTTTACTGCAATTTTTGTCTTGAATTGTCAAATTCAAAAGTTCACGATAATTTCAATCAAAGAAAAGTCAAATCGGCAATCAAACACAAGCTACACAAACATGCGTCTTATTTTTTAAACGAAACAATTTGTTCACTTATTAAATAATAATCCGGCGAAATAAAGTAAACATTTACAAGTTCTCAAAGAAAATCGTCAGCCTGTTTGTTATGATTACATGTATAGTATGACGTGAACATCGATGATGTCATTTGCAATATAAATTATGACGTCACTTCATTTAGTTGATGCTAAAACTATTCGCTATCTAATTTATTCGTAATTGAAATCGAAATAATAAATAAATAAATTTCGTATAGATTCAAGACTTGTAAGGGTATGAGATTACATTGTAGAATTCACATGCTGATGAAAATGCTCGAATATAAGCAATTGAAAAAAGTCCGTTAAAATGGGCGGGGCTAATTTTTGATATCAGGTTACTGACGTGATATCAAAAATAATTATCAGGCAAGTGTTATCGGGCAGTTACCATAGCAGTTGCATGATAAAATGTCAAATTATTTGTCGTTTATGTCTTTATGACATACTGTAAGCAAAGTGAAAACTGCTTGTATATTTCGTTAATATAATATGTTATGTGTGATGATTAAAATCCAAGACATGTACATACAATACGTGTATACGTTGGATAATGACTAGTGTGTTCTATTAATTATAATTTATTCAATGCATTTAATGACAAATCAAATTTAAGATGTCATATTTACGAGCCGGGACGATTTATCTAATTGAAGAACGATAACTCTAGTCTTGTAATGAATAACAACGAATCTGAAAATAATGCTCTTCTAAAAGGAGATGAAAGTGTGTGTGTGCGTGTGTGTGTGTGTGTGGGGGGGGGGGTTACCCAGAATTCGGTCCGGAACATTACATGTATAGGGACACGGATGAAACTTTATTTGAGTTGATACTTGTCCTACTTAAAGGAAAAAAACCGATAGATTCTTTAGATTATGCCTATATAATGACCGGTATATTGAGTTAAACAAAAACGATTGAAATATGTCTAAAGCTATAGATTAACAAACTTCAAGAGTGGAAATGATTATGTTATCAAGGATCTATACCTAAACAGAGTTTTTGTTATTTTAAGTTCATGTAAATGTGTTTAATTGTTATCATTTTTCAGACAATATACTAAGTAATTAGATATACTAAAAAAAACGTTTGTCGTCTAGAACCAATTTTCCGAGGACTTTGTTTCTATTGTTGTTGTTTTTCTATTTCAGAAGGCCTTATTGGAAATAAGATATATATGATAGCTGTTGTATTTTCTTAATGTGTTACCTTCTATAAATAAAAGTTTCTGTATCCATATCTTGCACTATTCTCCAAAATCTTAAATGACTAATAAATATTATTTTGAAGGACTCGCCAATATGGACAACCGGTAGCAAGTATAAATTCAAATGCACACACAGACACACATTGTAGTATACTGTACAAGACTAAAATTGTAATTATTTCCCCCTTTTCACTCTTATATACATGTATAACATAACCATATGTGACAATACTAGACATGAGCTAGATGTAATCGATAGTTTATCAATGAAACCTAGGACAGGTTGTCAATTCACGAATTAAGTATGTATCTAAAAGGATTCGGCTTTTCCTTATGGCATGTTATAACTATTTTACTCCTTAGCAAAAGTTTGACGGAGAGGGTCGAGAAATGCATGTGTCTCTCAGTCTTATGGTGGTTGTTTTTGCCATGTCGTATATTTGCTTTTTCGCCACGAAAATGTGAAAACATGAAGATACGACAAAGTCAAAATTGGTCATATCTTTATATGACAAAGTCAAATTTTGCCATACCTTTGTGTTTTCACTAGTACATTTCTGCATTTTGAGACGGAAAAAGTGAAGGAATAATAAAATAAGCAAACTGCGATCATACGACATGGCGTTTATTGGCCTCTATACAATCTACTTAAAGAAGGTTAGATCTGTACTTACTTCTTCGGTACTCATGTTTCCATAAATGAACCGTTGTAATTCAGAAAGCTTTCTTAAAATATGTTTCTATAGATTTTCAGAACTTGGTTCATAATGGAGGAATTAAAATTTTGATAGGTTAACAACTTCATACTTTATCACCTAATTTTGCGGAAATGAAAAATAAAATGAATGGACTGCAATGGCCATAACATATTTTTGTACCATGTAAAATGTTTACAAGTTAGAAATTAAGAATATAAAGAAAACAAATCCAAGATATTGTAAGTATCACTCAACTGTATTAAGACGTAAAAAGTCTTTCATGGATAGCTCGTGTTACTATGGAAGCACAATTACATACAAATGATTATAGTATTTTCTGGTGAAACAGATATCCGTCTTCTCAGATATTGAAAAATGAATAAATTTCAAAATACTTGAAACTGATTTCTATGTTGAAATGATATACATATATTTTGAAATGCTTAATCTTTATTGCGTGTGAGTTTCACTCATCTTCTACAATGTAAATATTGTACGGCTTACATCTATAAATGTACAGACTATTTCGCAAAAGCATCTGAAGAGCTTAACTCTGTTAAATATCTCATATATTTAATAGCAAAGGTGAACGGTATTACTTTTTATTTTTTTCCACAGGTGTTTGTTTAGTAAATAATTGTCTTCCTGCAAGGAAAATTATTTGTATGTTAATGAGTTACACTAAGAGATATAAGTATTACATAGGAGTATTTTGCAATCGGTTCAGTTAATTAAACCGAATTCAAATAATGTGTGTATGCTTTTCACAAGCATATTTGTGCAGAGTATAGAAGATAATGCGTGTTTTGCATATGTGCATACAGTTTATGCAACATCGTTTATTTTCACCAGTTTAAGCTTCCTCGGTCTAAATAGGTTTCTTAAATGAAAACCGGACTGACAATATTGAAGAGATTAAAAAGTGGTATTCAAAAGTTATTCTTTTTTATGGAGTAATTTTTCATCTGTGACTTTTAAGACAATAAACCCTACTTAATGTTATATATATGTATGAAATTTACACTTATATATTTAGAACTTTATAATCATTTCTTATTCTACAAATTGTTAAAATGTTTTTTTAGTACCAATTGCCAAAAATATATATATATTTTTTGTAACTTTAATAACATTTAACAAATCAATACCATTCTGTATGATGCAAAATGCCACTTGAATGATAGTAACATAACTGATATTTCCATTGCTGAATCCTCAAACAAATTTGAAGCAATTAACAACTTACTGAACACTAATGATACTAATATATATTTGGGTTGAATTTTCAAAAGATCAGATAGAACCTATTTACTGTAAAAGCCATCTTGTTGTCTCTGATGGAGTGAAAAAGCAAATTTTTAAACACCTGTAGGAATTTGGTATATATTTTTATTTAAGACAAACTCGCACATAATGAATATATTAAAGCAATAAGGAGCGAGAGCTGCAATAGCTCATGGTGGTCCTCTCTGCTTACAAAAGCTATACAGTAAAACATGTGTTTAAGACCACCTCCGAATAAAGATCACCATGTGAATAAAGACCACACTATGACAAACCTTTACTGATTTAGTAGAACAGAGTGACCTCTTAATAAAGACCACTTTTGTAAATAGACCATTCTTTGTCCCTCCTATAAATGGACTTTAATCACAGGTTTGAGTGTACATACATTATTATAACATACGGCTTATTTGTAATTATTTGATAATTTATAATTACTTCAAATGCAGATGGACGATAAAATGTATAAAACGTCAGATGAATAACAAAGAATAACCGGACTTGAGCATTTTTTTTCATAAAATTGGGTTGAAGCTGACACTGAACAAGATTAAATGAAGTAACAAGATTAAATGAAGGTACCAATTCATTTAAAATCTGCACTTATATCATTCTTAAAACAGAACACAACTTATTTAGTTTTCGATGAGAAATCTTCATCCAAATTCTTATGACATCAGGTATTGTAAACAGTGTCCTTCAGAGCGTCTGAGGAGTCCAGATTTACAATAGTTTTCAGACATTCCGGATCACTTGTGTCAATAAATCCTTTACCATCGAGGTCGGTGAAGTTTTCACAATCTAAGACGGCGTCATTATATACCTGGAATTAGTAAACAATAATGATTATTGTTTAGATACAAGTAAGAATGCATTCGAATAAGCTCATTGATAAGCCACGCCTTTTAGATTCTGAGGAATCTGCCAGCTAAGCTTAATTGGAAGGGGGTCGGATCGCTGGTTCGATCCACGGGCGGGGCGAAATTCCTTCGTGACAAATGATAACGGACATTGAAGCTTATGGCCATTTTTCACAGTTGATTCAGAAATCATGTTGAATAAGTAGCCGGTTATTTGCGAAGAAATTGGTAACAACTGGTTAGTTATCCAGAATAGAAGGTTAGGTGGTTCGACCGCCGAGAAATGTTCTAAATTGTGTAAAAATCAATGTAAAAAACGAGAAAGGAATAAATTCTGAAAAAAGACATTGTTTCAGGTTTTTGTTGTTGTTGAGAAAACAAACATATCAGCATGTTGTGTCTGTCTTCCCCATTGTCAATTATGACGTCATTCTACCTCTAGGTGACAACGCAGTCTGATTAAAATCAGCTCATAATAAATGCTACACATTACATGCAAGAAATAACTTAAGACTAATAACGTTTTTTCCCCATAAATTGCAGTTCCTTATAGTCTCTGTATAGTTTGGTTTATTTACATAATTATTTGAAGTGTTTGTTGGCAATATATGATGTAATATATTACTACAAAATAAGTCAGTTGTGATCTGCACAGATCAGCGTCTTTGAAAGATCCTGCACTGATAGATATATACTTACAACATCCAATGGTGAGTAACCCGGATGTATCCCTTCTTTGACAGGACTGTTGCTCTTCCGGTTATAAACAGGAAGGAATGCCATTCTTCTTTCGTCACTGGTATTGACGTCACTTTTATATAGAGTATTACAATGTAAGAAAATAACATCACCTGTAATAACATGTAAACAAAGCAATTATAAAATTTACAAATAGTAGTATTATATGACATATGAAAATTTGGAAAAAGGGTGGTCCCTCGGAAGCATAAGAACAAGAAAATTACTTTAAAATTGCAGACTCGGTTTGATTGAGTCTTTACTTAAGGGATAATGAAAAAGTGAGTAATTCTTCACGTCCCCTGACACCGGCTTGAGCGGTACTCCATTTTCAACACTTAAAAGTGCTGGAAACCATTTTGTCCAAAATAATAAAGCTTTTCCTAAAACTTATGTTCTGACAAAGAAGCGTAATAAAATTCAATTTGATTTAATTGTGTACAAGATGAAAACTGAAGATATCAATCAATAAGAGACGGGGTGGTCTTCTAGTGAATGCGCTTGTCTAGGGAGACTGTTTTGAAGTCCTTCTCGAATCTAGTCCCAACATTTCGATGGAAGACCGACTGATTTTATAAACTGATATAACACAATTGTCCGTCTTTAGCGACCGTCATATATACGGAATAAAAAGCCCTGGCGTACAAATTGTTGGGCCAACTGGAATCTAGACTGTGATGCATTATCCTTCAAAATAGCTGTTTAGGTAAACAGTTCAGGGTAATTTTAACTGTCTTCATACTCGAACTTTTACTTAACTTTTTTATTAAATTTTCTTACCGGGTTCTTGTTCTATGTATTTAAGCGGGCAAAAATTGTGTAATTCTTGCACTAGATTTATATCAGCCCCAATTTCACCTCCGGTAAGTGTATGTTCAATTTTTCCAGCAGTTTGTGAACCTTCTAAAACCTAAAATAGTATGTACACTAGTTCAAACAATACAATCTTTACCAATAAGCTTTATGAAATTAACAATTATTTTCACCTGATGATACTGTAGAATGAAAGTCCGTCGGTTACCAAAATTGAATAAAAGCATAATAATTTTGAAAACCTACATACACCTTTTTTGTTACATGTAGTTGGAATATGTAGGTAGCATTTTTTCTTTTTTGAAAATCGACATAGAGACTTTTTTGTTTCTTAGAATATCTACAGCTGTGTCAATGAATTGAAGATGTAACTTATAAGAAGAGTGATTTAGATATGATTGTGTTTCTGTTTCTATAAAGAAGTGAATTAGAAATGCCCTGTTGTTAACTTGTTCTTAAACATATAACTTAATTCATCTTTTTGTTAACGCCGTTTCTATGCTGGACAATACCGTTCATTATTATTACATGTATTATTTATTATTATTACCATTATTATTATTATTATTATTATTACCATTATGATTATTATTATTATTATCATTATTACCATTATTATTATTTTTACATACTATTAGTATATCTTCTAGAATATGTTCAGTCACTTGATAATAAGCAATTTCATGTATAATTAATCTATATTATATATTACGTATCTAAAATAAATCACAAAATTTCAAACACTACCTGCAGACATCCATTTTCTTTATTGACTGGATCAATTGCAATGAAGGCTGTAATCAATTCAGGAAAAGGGACAAAGTTGTACCAGCTTCTGAAAACCACATTGCCAAAATTATTATCTTATTATGCAAATCACGGAATGAGATTTATTAAAAGTACTGCATCTTTCATTCACAAAGTAGCATATACTTATCATTTTTATAACATACCGACTCGGTGAAAACAATATGGCACGACCATACATTTGACGTGACTTCATAAATGAATTTATTTAATTTGTTCAATAAATTCAATATTGAAGCTGCGCTCATTCAATATCCTAATATGTATTGTATATATGCATTGTGAAACTAGTTAATAGAAAGTGAAATTCGATTACTTGTTATGTTTTACGTACCGTTGTTTTATAAGATTAGCCGAAGCGTTGATTATAACATTCTACATTCTTCTTAAATGAAATTAATAGCATTGATTTGTACGTATAAGAAATGTTACACAAAATTCTACGTATATGGTATGCATATCTATCTTCATTAACGCCCATTTTTCTAACACCTGCATGCTGAATCCTAACATTACATACATACTGATTCTGAACTTCTGAACTTCTGACATTAGCTTTCCAAAAAGCGTTTAATTATTTACACCCTCAAAAATTGGATGAAACTTAAATTTATTTGTTTGTACATTCAATTACAATCCTTAAAATATCTATTTTTAATATGAGAGAGAAATATTCAAACAAAATTTAAATGTACTTTGATCAACTGTCATAGCTAAGAATTGTCTTTCACTTGATTGTACATTTCAGTGCCCATATTTCTATATGCAAACGTTTCTTCAAATAAGCATATTTTCGTACCCATAATCTTGGTGCCAACATCTCTGTCCGCCTGTTTTTGGAGGTTTAATAACAATCTTTGAATGATAGTGGTACACTTCGCCGCCCAGAAGCTAGAATATACAAAGTCATTCTTGGACCATCTTAATTTTCATTTAGTTTGTAGCCATAGGCTATCTATTAAATTCGTTGGCTTAAAACCACTTGCTCCTCACACCTTTTGGATCGAACACCGCTATGTACATTGTGTAACAAAGCTATCCAGCAAGCTTACGGTCAGACGACATACAGTGTCCGAAGTAATGCATCGGAAAGCCACCTTTGGTCTTCTTCAAAAAGTAAGTCTGGAACATCGCCACGTGTCATTCTTATAGTGACGGTGTTACGTGGACTCCAACAAAACAAAGTAAAAGAGCATTTTTTAAAAAAAATTAAAACTAAACGGAAAACACATATATGAAAGAACAACATTTCATATGATTATCACTCCCTTTAAGTCCTTAACAGTCCTTCTTGACAAGATTACAATAAACAAATAATTATAACATCAAAATGTTTCAAAAACAAAAATGATACCCAAAACAAGATTCATTATATTTTATTGCAGTGGCGTTGAAGTTGAAAATAATTTTTAAAAGTTATTCTAGTTAAAGTTATTCGAAAGGAAAATATCCTTGAAAAATATTAATTACTCTTTTTTACTGTTTTTAATTTAAAGGCTTTAAAAAAATACTGTCTATTTATTGCATATATTTTGCACCTGTGAACAGGTTTCCACCATTTTCTGCGTTTTTGCCGCCATACCAAAAACGTCATTTCCTGGATAGTTCCACGTGGTCTGAATGGTTGATTTGTCATCACAATCTTTCACCTTTATTGTAAACAAGAAAATCTTTAAAAAAGATACTCGGCCGAAGCAAAATTGATTAACATTCAAAATTATGTTATTTCTAAGTTTTCAGTACAAAAAAAGAAATGTTAGCAATACTTGCATAACAATGACATACTGATTATTTCTTGTAGCTATGAAAATACCCATTTTGTAAACATTGAAATTAAATTATTGGCGACGCCGGTTAAATCAAAACATTTGAACAGCTTTCTATATTATCTCCAAGCAATCAATGTTATCTGTTAAAAGTTCGATTCAACATTCAATTTGTATGAGGCAGGTTGTACTTACAAAGAATTCATATTGGTGATAAGCCTTTCCTTCTTCATAGTTTCTGATCATCTGTTGTATCTCTTCTGATCGAAATAATTTTCTGGAAAAAAGATAAGCTTTAGTAGGATGTCGGCAAGTGATACATGTATTAGTGTTGTAACCAGTCTAGACACGATCAGACGGACATGCCGGTAGGTGCCGTCTAATGGTAGCTTACCCTAACCCTCTACACTGTTTGTTATTCAGTCTATATTAACTTCGAATTTTCCACTGAAAATGACCGGTTTTGTCCAGATTGACAGATAAACAAGCCTATATGAGATGTTTTTCGTAGAAAAAAAAACAAAGAATTTTCTTGTACATGTAACTTGTAAAAATATCATGAAATACTCGTGTCCCTTAACAAAATTCAAAACATGTGAATAAAATGCTGCTACACCTTGAACAATAGGTTTTATTACACGATGCCGAAAACTTTTTCCACATACTTTTGTACATACATATATGCATTTAATTTTTTGTCATTATAACTGCCCGTAAACAATAATCATTTCGAATTTTCGAATTGTCTCTATTAATGATGATTCCATGGTTTCTGAATACTTAAGCTACAGTCTCACTTACATCCCGGCAGAGCCCCGGCAGAGCCCCGGTAGACGTCCGGGGTGATCCGGGAACGACCGGGGTACGACCGGGAACAACCGGGGTACATCCGTAACTCTGCCGGCAACGTCCTGGATGATCATTCGACCCCGGAGAGCCCCGGAGGATAAAGGTAGAGCTACGGTTGATCCCGGTAGAGCCCCGGCAAAGCCCGGATCATTTCAAAAGAATAACGACAATTTGCGATGATTGCACTTGTTTGTATTAAAAGCCTTCCCATTTCCCTTCTATCCAGTATGGCATAAGGATTTTTCAGAAAATCATCATAAATTACTATTCTGAAACAATAGATATCATATTAAATAAAAATTATGTATCAATGTTATCATTTTCGGGCGTTTTCAATCCACCGGTGTTCTACCGGGGCTCTGCCTGGATCGTCTTGGGCTCTGCCGGGGCTCTGCCTGGATCGACCGGGACTCTGCCTGGGTCAACCGGGGCTCTTCCGGCGTCATCCGGGAACGGCCGGGGAAGCACCGGCATGAACCGTAGCTTCACCTGGGCTCTGCCTGGATGATCCGGAGCGCATCCTGGGTGGTTAGTAGGGAACTACCGTAGTGCTGCCGGGGTAAGTGTGACCGCAACAATAATTTCATCCCGGATCGTCCCTGATGGTCCTGGGCTCTGCCGTGAGTAAGTGAGACCGAGGCTTAAGGCATTAATTAGCTGCTAGTGACCCTTTCACTAAAAGAATGTTAGTACTATTCCTAACTGAATCACGTTCACCATGGAAAGGATTTATCTATAATACGTGTTTCAATGCGTATATATTGTGATGTAAAATAATACATGCTTGTAAATTTGCTGAATAAAATATGTTTAAACTAATAATGTTCACTATAACTTAAACTTAAAACGTTCACTATAACTTAAACCACAAGTAAAAGCGTTTACTATAACTTAACTAATAGCGTTCACTATAACTTAAACTAATAACGTTTACTATATCTTAAACTAATAGCGTTTACTATAACTTAAACCAATAACGTTCAGTATAAATTAAACTATTAGCGTTCACTACAACTTAAGCTAATAGCGTTCACTATAACTTAAACTTATAGCGTTCACTATAAATAAAACTAAAAATGTTAACTTTAACTTAAACTTATAATGTTCAGCATAACTTAAACTAATAATGTTCACGTTAACTTAAACTAATATCGTTCACTATAACTTAAACTAATAGCGTTCACTATAACTTAAACTAATAGCGTGCAACTTATAACGTTCACTTTAACTTAAGCTTTTAACTTTTATCATAACTTAAACTAATATCGTTCACTATAACTTAAACTAATAACGTTCAACTAATAACATTCACTATAACTTAAACTAATAGCGTTCACTATAACTTATTAATCACGTTCATTATAATTTAATAACAACTTATAACGGTCAACTAATAACGTTGACTATAATTAACTTAAACTAATAGCGTTCACTATATATTAAACTAATAGCGTTCACAATAACTGTAAAAGTAAATGAAAAATCAGTTTTTAAATTTATCCGTCTTAAATAACCTTCAGACGTTCAGATAGTATGAAGCATATAAATTGCGGCGACGTTTTTTTTTAAACTTTAGATAATCACATAATGTTTGTAACCTACTTAAAATGTTAAAAGTAAGTGTGTGTTATTATCTTCCTGGTTAAGATAAATCACTAGGTTTGTAATGCACATTAATTCATTTCATTTATTGACAAATCTGCATTTTCAAATGACATTATCTGTTACGTGAAATAACATCATCGGGCTTAACAAACAGTTTTGAGTTACCTTACAATGATATATCCTTGCTTTAAGAATGCATTTTTCATTTCCGTTGTCACATCATAATCCTCCTCATCATAAACAACCTCCATTTTAAACGCTTGAAACTTCAAAGATTTGAGTGTTTACCTGCTCTAACACACACAATGTTTACATACGATAACATATAACAATGACATTGTATAATTTTAAAAGTTTATCACATACGGGTCTTGTCATGATACGAAATTCACACAAATATGAGATAAAATTAACATGGGCATAATGTTATCATTAACTTAATGGAAAGTCGATTTTCACCAAGACATACAGCTGCGGAGGTGCAGCTACATTCAGTTATGTATGTTTCTACTCCGTTTATGTAGCGTCACTGAATGATACGTCCGCCCAAAAAAAAGAAAAACCGAAAAACTGAAAAAAAAAAAAAAGGCAAAACCTTTTCAAATTAGTTGCAACCACCCCTGTCCCTTTTTCACCGTACAAAAAAAATCCCCAAACAACTATACCAAAAAAAAAAAAAAAACCACCAAAAACCAAATTTTTTATTTACCCACCTCATAAACTTTACAAACTTTAATATCCGTCAGTTTTCGTGCCTTCAAGGTTCAAAATGGAAATATTTAACGTCATGGAGTATTTTCTCCATAATTACTTATTTGAAACATGTTGTTTCGTTTGGCGCGTTTATGTGATGATGGCAAGACGAACTATATATATTTAGGGGCAGTAAAACACTGATATATTGAAATAGATTGGGTATCAACAATGATTTCCGAATAATAACTCAATCAGAATTCATATTCATAATGTTCAAATTCTTTAAAATATTACGAAGCATTTGCCTGCCCTTGCCCCCCATCGTCGGTTACCCACTGTACTGTAAATAATCAAATAATAGATAATGTAGTATGTACGGAATATATATTATTAGATAATGTAGTACGTACGGAATATATACCGCCGGAAACCGACCATGGCGCGCCCCTACTGCACCGCCTAACCTTTAAAAATTGTCAGAAGACAAAAGTAAATACATTTTTCTCGAGTTTTCCCATTTTTCTCATTTCTCCTCACGAAGTAAGAAATTATCTGAAGTCTTATAAATATCAGATTAAGATTAGAGACTGGTGCTTGATAAGAAAATTGGATTTTTAAGAGATCGTGAAATGTTAATGGTAGAAAATTGGAACATATGTTCCAGTTAATATGTCTGAACAAACGATTATCCTTCGAGTTTGGATTTATTCCAAAGAATAATCCGAAAAACATTGTAGCAATCTTAGATAATGTAATTTATCTTTTTATAAGGAGTACAGCTTGACATTGGGTAATTTAACAATCTCGACTTGTATTAGCCCTCATTTATTTTTTCAAGACAGCAATTCATTTTGACAGCTGCGTGTCGGTAAGCCATACTGTGTGAGTTGTCCGCTTCTATCTTAACTTTTACTGGTAGCCACAAAACATGCTGGATATGTCAATGTGACATACTAAAACAAGGGGGATAAATAAATAAAAATAAATTTTTTAAACAAATACGTTGTTAGTTATTTATATTTAGTTTTTTTCTTCAAATAACTGACATTTAAGTGGATAGGTCTATGTACAAGGGGCACATTTTACATTAGTATTTCAAATATTGATAAAAAAAAAAAACACCCCCCCCCCCCCCCAAAAAAAAAAAAAAACAACAATAGAAATGTATCATTTGGATATTCTCATAAGATGCTGCTTGAAAAAGAAGATAATAAAGTAAGTAAGCTATTAAGAATGGAATGGCCCTTTACCTGACGAATAATACTTATTTGTTCTAGACACACTTTATTATCTGCTATATGAATATCTGTAATATCGGATCATGTAAATTACACTTGCCAACAACTTCCTTATATAATTCTTATACATATTTTAATATATTTACGACCGGTTTATATATCAAGGCAAATTAGCAATATCATGGTTTTCACCATTTATTAAAATTAAAATTTCTTGTTATATTATATGTTATATATATGTATGAATTCATTAATTAAAAGTGCCGAAGCAAGAAATTTTAATTTTAAAATTTTAAACTATTGAAATATTTTTACATTTTTAGTTCTTTTTTGCTTATAGCATACTTTAATGAAATACTTCCTAGTATGAATGAGATATATGATTGCGTAGGACACATTTCTATATGTATATGAATGAGATGTGATTGTGTAGGACACATTTCTATGAGTATATGTAGTGTCTGCCACCATATTTAGGAAATTTTTTTTAAAGCAGCATGCCTCCAGATTCATGCTTACTATCTTGCATTAAAAAAAATGTTTTAACAAGTAAATTCATTGTCGATTGAGCAAAAAAGTAATTTACACATTGAAAACGGTACTTAAATTAGATCTATGCGAAAATTACCAAAAAAAAAAAAAAAAAAAAAAAAAAAAAAATAGGTAAGAATTTGCAAAGCTAGCACTTACTGTAGAAATATGGTGATATATACATATGTACTGCAAAAACCAGTCATTATTTGCATACGACATATATATATTTTCTTGAATTGTGGATATCTTTACATTCTTAAAATATTAGTACATTTTATTATCAAGTTTTATATTCTTGAAATATTTTCGCTCATCCTGAGGCATACACCTTTAAAGTAAGACTTTTGAAATTTCCCTTTTTCAAATCAATTTTCTAATATAATTAACATATGAATATCTCAAAGTTTAGCCTATTTTAGTAATACAGATCAAATTGACAAGAAAGAACTCAAACTTCAGGTCTATCACGATTTGAGATATCATATTTGTCAAATATAGGAATGTCTCATTCATATTTGTCAAATATTTTCCAAATTAAAGGAATATCAATCCATATTTGTCAAACATTTTTTTAAATTGAAAACCAGAGTGATATTTGGGCTGGTCTTTCATGGAAATAAAATGATTATTATCTGTGCTTAGGAAGTTTTAGATGACAAGGGGTACTAATAACACATGATCATTCGGTTGTCGTTCTTATAGAAATTAAGGACAACATTATGCCTCAGAAATGAATAATTTTATCCTTCTTTAGAAAGGGCAAACATGAATTTTATGACATTTGAATAATTGTTTAAGAGAATGTTGGATGCTTACAACATGTAGAAAGTAGTGATGAATGTGTATTTGATTGCCATGAAAGTAGTAGAATGTAAATTAAGTCGTATTTTGACTTCCATACAAAATATTTCATCACTATAACTGTACTAATTGCCAAAGGGTAAGCTACACAAAGGATGAATTGAGTTAATGGACAATAACTAACTTTTTTAGAAATGTAACAGGACATCAGAATTTTAAAGCTTTTGAGAAAAAAAGTACATTTCTGGGGTATTATTAACATTTAAACAACATTTTGGGTAAATTCCTTGCTTGTATAACTAATATATTCAACCGCAACTTTTGACAGCAACTGATGATCTTGTAAGCAAATTAAAGTGTGTACTTATAGCGTTACACTTTTCGATTACTTGAAATTAGTTGATCACTAGTTAAACGTCACAAAAAATAAATATCCGGAAAAAAGTTATAGCTAGGAATTATTAAAATCAGCAAAATTATATGAAAATTGCAGACTCGGTTTGATTGGGTCTGTACATGAGGGATAATGAAATACTGCAGCATCCCTCACGTCCCTTAGCACCGGCACCAAGAAATTTGATTTACAATTTTTAAATAAAATAAAATCATTATTAAAAAATGATAAACAAGATTAACAAGGAAAGGCGGCGTTCAATGAACGCAACCCCACACGACCCAGCAACATGAACCAGCGGCAAGGAGCCCATAAGTTTTGCGAAAAACTGTGCCGTTTGGTTTAATATTACACGTGAGTGCGTGAACTATGTTTTTTGTCTGACACAGTTTGTTTTCAAGACAATTTGCTGTTCATATGATAAAATCTATAATCATAACTTTTTGGGAATAATATTTTCTTAGTATATATCTGATAGACTACTTTAAAATGTACGATAAACTTTATTTCGTAAATTATAAATAATTTAATACCACTTTTATTTAATTTGAACTGAATATAAACCCCTGTTGAGCCATTAACATAGTTCAATATGAATCCTATTGCTCCTCGTGGCTTCATTTAACAAATAAAGACCTATTTGTACTGAATTCATATTTTTTATCTTGTTTCAAAGATTAAGCTCGGCATCAAAACTAAACAATACACGTGTGTTTTAAACGAGAGTTATCAAATGTATGATTTAGTAGGTTTTGTAACTGAAATATTTCATTCATATTACATAATGTTATCATCGTCTGTACTATTAAACTGATATATGTATACATGTATATATTGAATTCATTGACGTAGAATATAGGTCAGTGAGTGTATCAAACTTCCTTGATATGAAGGTCAGCGTGTGTATTAAATTCTTGAAATGAAGGTCATTGGTTGAAGGTCAGCTGCTGAAATAAATATTTGAAATTAAGTTAGTGGATGTATAAAATGTCTTGACATAAGGGTTAGTGGGTGCATTAAATATCTTGAAATGAAGGTCAGTGGGTGTATTGAATATATTGAAATGAAGGTCATTGGGTGTATTAAATGTCTTGAAATGAAGGTCAGTGGGTGTATTGAATTCCTTGACATGGAGGTCAGTGCGTGTGTTGAATATCTTGACATGAACCTCAGTGGGTGTATCCATGTGTCTGAAGCTCGTTTTCCAATATTTTCGTTTGGTTCGATAATATTTTATTTGGAGTATAAAATCAGTCTCATCAAATCATAATCACGTGCAAATTTTCCCGTTTCTACATTAACTGTATCATTATTGAATACATTGTTATGGCAATGTTAATACTAATTGGCACACGGATATATGGTTGTCTTTTGACCATTATGGTTTTGGCATTCCAGAAGCCTAGAATCTGGCCTTCTAATATATTATAATTTCTCGTCTGCTTGGCAACCAGTTTCTTGGAATTCTCCCTCCGAAAATACCAGTAGCGTAAGTTCGGAGCTTAATAGTCGATACTCGGCCTCATGACAGCTTCGTCCGTATGTTTGGCAACTTAGCAGTTCAAAACCTGGGTTTAAGTCTCCTATTATATTGGTTCTTGTATTTTATTAGAAATATCATCTTTAATTCTATAAATAATGTCGTTTTTTTTAATCTTATTACTTATTATGATATTTTTAGCAAATGTACGTAATACTTAGAGATAATAACATATAAAAATGTTCATGTGAAGATCTTATTATAGAT